ATTTAGCCGTGTCCGTATCGACAGGAAGCGGTCATTTGCGCAGGCGATCATTAGCGCTGCAATGCTTACTTTCAACATCCGTCAATGACGCTTTGTCAGTCAGCGATCTTCATCAGTTGTGGTGTATTTCCCTTTACTAATGGTGACAAATCTACCTTTCGCCCACTAAAAATTCTTCAGAGACCGCGCTGCTGAACTATCGTTGCACAAGTATCGTATCACTTCCAGCCAAATGCATAGGAAGTGGCAGCACATGTATATATGCTCCCGATTCCGTTGGTATACGCTTCTGATCAGAGCATTTTCCATTAAGGTTCACTAATTCTGCAGCTTTAGCCTCAGCATGCACCTTATAGGAGGTTAGTGCGTAATAGTGGTTCTTGACGTATGCAGTCATAGCCTACAGTGTTAGGACTGAAAGTAAGGTGTCAAGGTAGTTAAATCCATATGCTTGAAAATAGTGTCGAGCTGGGACCAAGTCGACGCAAAAAGATGGTATTTCAACCAGCTTGTTTGTATTGAACGAAAACTTTCGGAATGATCGCCACCCTTTCTTCAGCCTTGGTCAGGAAGTGATGCAATGTTGGTCGTATTAGTGCCTGGCAAAGGATGAATAGGGGATAGCGATTATCCCGAAAGCTCCCGTTCAATACAAACCAGCTGTTTGAGACATTATTTTTGTTACCTAGCATAATTTCGGTTGATCTGGATTTGTTCGAGTCAAAGGTTGCTTTTGGAAGCCAAGTTTCGGCTCTTTCTTGAAAAACTACATTAGACAGCTGTTTCAGTAAGCCCGCCGCGTTAAGGCAGCTGATACCTGCATGACCAGCCGTGGAGCGGAGCGGCCAGTATCACCATGCGCCTCACCACAACATACTGCCCAGCATTCCTGTCAGGCCAGAGGACCACTAGCCCTCATCCACCACCTGTTACCGGAGCGTGACAGCTGGAGTCGGGATGACGGCGTCACCGGCGCCGGAGCCGCCGGGCGTCACCGGACGCGCCCGATTGGTGCTGGGACCGGCAGCCCATGTCCGGCGGCACTCAGCTGACCTGCTGCTCCCTGACAGCCGACAGAAGTGTGCAAGCGGCGCACATGGTGAGAATGGAGAGGACTTTATGCTTATGGTTCGTTGGCATCGTTGGAAAACGTAGGTACTAGGTACGGGCCAGCAGCATGTGGTGAGAACCTGGGCAAGGTAGAAAATATTGGGCGAGACCGGTTATACCGGTGGGGCTCGGACTAGAGACGCAATTTTTAGCCCACCAACTCGCCAGATCCGACCCACCAATGACTCCTTGGCCTTTTGCTAGGCTGTGGGACAGACCTGGTGAGCTTGTGCGGGCAAAATTTTTCGAACAAGTGGAACGACGAGCTTCTTCGCTCATGCTTGAATGATAAGACCATAGAACGATCAGGCATCTGTACTTGTTTTGCAATTTTTGCTTAGCTTTGCAATGCATTGACCATTTGCGCACGCATCCTCATGTCACAAGTCGCATCAGTTATGCCCGCTTTGACAGCTTCACCTGGCGTAATGCAGACTCATTTAAAAAAGCCACCTCACCCCACAAACTTCAGACCCCCACAAAGTCTGCGACCGCCTTCGGAAGTTTTCTGCGGAGCGCGGGGAGGCACGCTCAGCCCGGACACCGGCGGAAGACCTGACGCGGGAGCCGTCCGCAGGCCTCGGGGGCCGACCAGCACGGCCAGCACCGCCGGAGGACACCAGCGGAGAACGCCGTCCGGCGGGGCCCACCGCCGGAGGACACCAGTGGAGAACGCCGTCCGGCAGGTCCCACCGCCGGGGGACACCAGCGGAGAACGCCGTCCGGCGGGGCCCACCGCCGGAGGACACCAGCGGAGAACGCTGTCCGGCGGGGCCCACCGCCGGAGGACACCAGCGGAGAACGCCGTCCGGCGGGACCCACCGCCGACGCCGGCGACCTTCCTTCCCGCTCAGCAGCGGGGACGTGGCCTCCGATGCTTTTTACACCGCCATGTTAATTTATTTTTTAACGACAGGCGATGTTAATTTGCCGGCTACCTGACGCCTGGACAAATTGTTTCATCACGGTGTAATTTGTCAGGGCGGCACTAGTTGTGATGAACTCGCCGCCGCTGCGCTCCGGGACTCCAGCGGCGTGCTCAGGATGACCAGCGGCGGCAGGGGCGGTCGCAGGCCCTAGCAGGGGAGCGTCGAGTGGGCCTCAGGCTGGGCTACTAAATAGTCGAGAACAGCGCCAGTGCGTCTTGTGTTCTAGTGGGAGCAAGCTCGGACGGGGCTGACGTCTCAGTGGCATCCGTATTGAAAAGAATGACCACGTCTGCCAATACAGATGCATGCTTATTCACAACGCACCGACCTGAACGGGCATTTACTTCAGGTCGGGTTTGCACCGTCAGTGGAGAAAGCTATTTCCCAGAGGGGAAACAGGCTTGACGGGGTCTTTGGAAACCGGCACTGCACCTTTCGAAAGTCCCGCAAGCAGACACCGCCGCTCGCCAGACAGTGTACGGCGTCGACAGTCTTTGAGCGAGAGAAGCAATGCCTGCCCACTGCCGCTCCAGATAAAAGTGATGCTAGAAAACAAAACGGACGCTGTGGAAAAGCTCTATTGCTCACGCCATACGCTCTGCGCTCCGACTGACGACACGGACTCCTAAACCTTCGGTCAGCAACGCCACGGTCTACAGTCGTCATGCGCTCGATCCAAAGCATGGCGTCACGCACCGTGACGTCACGCTTTGGATCGGGCAGGAGGCGAGGCAGAGGCGTGAGTCGCATATCCGCCAAGCCTGGCAAACTGGCAAGACATGCAGGCGCGAGGAAGGAGACCATGACTGGTGCGGAAGAAAGCTATTTGCTTTATCGTATGAAATAACAATTGCTGGCCTGCTATTAACTATAGCTATATGCATGCATATGCGTGCAGATATATTTATGGCGTGTATGTGTGTGTCCAAGCAATGCATCTAAATGCATTACATATGGAACTCAAAGCAGACAGATGAACTGGTAGACCGGTACCATGCACCATCCTATTCTCACACCGGCCTCTGCGAGCCTGTGACGGGAGGCAGCGCGTCCCGCCCTCCCCTCTCCGTATCGTTCCATCTCGCCAGCAAGCCACCGGCGCTGGCACCGGACAGCGGGAGGCAAACCCGGCAGTCATCTCGCCGTCAGCGGCGGCCGGCGCCCGCCAGCTGACTAATTCGCCAGCTGATGAAGCGGGCACCTAATGACGCGCTCCCAAGACGATCGTGGCGAACTATGCGCAGCGTCGCCGCCGCCGGCCAGGAAACTGGTTTGTGACTTGTAAAGCTACAAATGAGGTTCCCGAGGGGCGACGGACGGCCTGTACCCTTTACAGCTCTACACGCGGTAATTACACTCGGCGGCCGCTGCTTAATTGAGCTGAGCAAAACTGAAGCATGGATTGTTAGCTTACAGCCGTCGTAAATAGCGCGGCGCCGTGTTTGGAGGCGAAGAACATGTGAGTCTGGGCGCCGTCACGGATGATTTCTTTATCGTGCAGCTGCACCACCCGCGTTCCTCCGCCCTCGCGGGGCCGCCCGGCCAGATCCGGGCGCTGCCAGCCCGCTTCGTCCTGCCGTCGACCGCATCGCGCCGCGACGAAACGCGGCCTTCGTCGGCTCCGCACGGAAATCCCGCACAAATATCCACACCGCACAAAACGCGGGCAGAACAACAGATCGGGCGCTGCACCGCCGCGGCGTGTGCGTCGGGCCGCCGGCCGCCATCCCCGCCCCACGCAGGGGCGCGCTCCTGCACGCCGCGCTCAGCCAGCTCCATAGCGGCGCCGTATATGCAGCATCATTTCGGTGCCGCCACAAATACGATCTTAATTACAGCACGAGCCGGATCGATGGCGCGGCGCGCCGCGGCCTGAAAGGGCCCGGCTGAATACCCGGGTCAGCAGCGCGTCTCCGCCGCCGCGCGTTTTATTCGGCCCGTCGTTAGGCCGTGTCATTAGAGACGGCAAATATGTCCAGCGCGGACGTGCAGCGCGGACGCGCGGCGGGGGACGATCCTGATTGGCTCATTAGACGACGCAGGCGGCGGCGGCGGCGCGCGGCAAATAACCGATCGCGGGGTTTATTGGCGCACCGTTACACCACTCGTCGTGCACGTCAACCGCAGAAACGTGTGCCGCCGTTGCTCTCGGCACTGCTCCTGGCCGCCGATGCCCTGCGGGACGCGGCCGAGATAGAACAGGTGGCGGCGAGAGCGCGGCCGACGGGGGACGCCCGCCGCCAGCACGTGCCGTATCGCCGGCCGGCATCTCGCGCCCCGAAAACAATTACCCGCCAAATAACCGGTTTCGCGCCATCCCGGCGCTCGACGCGAACCACAGCGCTGTCGGCGCCCGACCGACGTTGTCATTATCAAATACACAAAAGGGCCCCGTAATTGACAGCGGGGCGGGGCGCGGGAAGTGCATTTACATTTTCTTGCGCGGCGGCGGCCGGCGGGGTTTTTGTGCGCGCCGCCGGCCTGTCACGGCTGGTGGCGCGCGGCACGGCAATTAGCAAGGCAAGACCGGCGCCCGGAGACGGCGCGTCGCCGGCCTTGGCGACCCGGGTCCAGGTACCGACGGTGCCTGAGGTACCGCGAGGTACGGCCGTGTGTGACGGTACCATCGTGTGTCTTCGAACCGCTGCGAGTGCCAGCGCCGCTGTGTCCCGGCGCCGTTGTGCTGACCGCTGAGTGCTGGCCGGTGGTGCCGAGCGCTGCGCCGCCGCTGTGTCTGGTGTTGGCTGTCCCAGCGCCGCCGTGCCTGCTGTTGGCTGACCCAGCGCCGCTGCCTGTTGTCGGATGCCCCAGCGCTGCTGGGTGTCGCGCAGCGCCGCCGTACCTGACCGTAGGTTCCGACACCGCCGTGACCGCCGGGCCCGGTTTAGCGGCGTGCGCTACGACGCGGCCCAGTGACCCCGGCGGCCGGCCGGCCTCGCCAGACCGCTAGCTCTCGTCACGGCTCGTCAGCGGGTCTGTATTGATACACGACAGAGGAGTCGACAAGAATAGGCGCCGGCGAGGGCCGTGGAAATCACACGGAGCATATCATTGAGCATTACCACGGCGCGAGGCGGCTGACGGCGAGAGCCGTCCAGCCACAATGGACGCCACCAGAATGTCTTCCACGCCTTTAAAAGGCTACTGAAGAACATCGGAACTGGACACGGGTTCCGATGCACGAAATCACAAGCTGCACATTCGTAGTGGAGTATGGAGCGCCTACGTTTGTACATGCAAGATCACACAGGCCCCGTCCGCGCTTTCATTCCATTGGTTCACCCCGATGCTATCATGGATTCATTGCATATATGTGCGCGACCCTACGCGATGGGAACGAACAATCGAAAAACGTGACGAAACAACCCAGCGCGCGGCCAGATTCGCCAGGCGCTCCCTACCCGCGCCACTCGGCGAATCCAAATACAGACTAACGAGGCTCCGCTCCGCCAAGATCAATCACTCTTCTTGGCCTTCTTCCCTGCCTTCTTCTTGGCGGGCTTGGCGGGCTTGGCATTCCAGTAGTAGAGCACCTGGGCGGCAAGCAAGCCGTTGACCAGGGAGGTGGCGATGAAGGTGACGATGAGGGTCGTATCGCCGGTGTCCTGAACGGACGTGAAGATGCGCGCCAGCGAGCCCGCGAACAGCAGGAACACCGTCACCGCCGACAACTGGCCCGTCGATCCGTTGCGGAAGTTGGACACGGCCTGGATCAGCTGCAAACAGACGGCGGAGTCAGCGGGCTCGCGGCGATAAAGCGGACGAGGGCGCGTTCGCGCGCAGCGCCGCGAAAGGGCGATATCAGCTGCTGTTGGATCGGTCGGCGGCGCGGCGCCCCGCCCACGCGTCTCTTGCAAACCGCATGACAACACAGAGCACATGCTGGGACCTGTCGCGGGATATGCTCCAGCGGCCGCCGGCTGCCCCGGCAGACGGCGACCGCCGGCCGTCGACGGCACCAGCCGCCCTCCAGGGCTGGAGCAGGAGCCGGAGCGCGCCCAGTTGAGGCCCAGTGGGCGAACGACAACGTCGTCAGCGGCGGGTCATTACCGACAGCTGGGCGTGGTGCGCTGTTTTGCATGGCATTCGACGCCGAGCAGGCCAAACAATGGCGCCGACAAATTGTGGGCATTCGTGAGTGGCGCCATTACGAGCGCCCGCCGCTGGGCGGGACCTGCCGCAGCAGGATCACCTCGCGCGACATTCAGCGTCGTCGGTACTCAAAGCAGGATCATTTCTTCCTCACTCAGCGCCAAAATCAACGGGCCGTCCGTCAAAGCGCGCAAGCCAGCGCCTCAGCGGCGGGCGGCGCGCCCTCGCCGAGCCGGCCGTGCCGGCCGCGCGCGCCTGGCAACTTGGCGACAACAGACCGCATGGAGACGGCTGGCGTGGCGCGTTGCCCCAGAGACAGCCTCGATCGCGTCCAGCATGCGGCCGCCCGTTACGGGCCCGCCGCTACGGCAGAGCCGTGGTCATCCGTCACATAAGAACGGGCTCCGACCGACCCCACGGCCTAGGTCGACGTTCCCACCAGCGTCGCGCCCCCCGCCGCCCCGCCCGTCAGGCGGCCGCGCCGCGCGCGCTTCCACGCTCGACTACGTGACCGCCATGTCTTCTGGGCTGACGCGCGGCCGAAGCTTACGAAATGATTAAGCCATGGTCGACGGCGGCGGCGGGCGGGCGCCGGCGGCGCCGGCGGTCCGGCGGTGGGCGGGTCGACGCCGCGTGCGGCGCGATATATCCCGCGACGCGCCCGGCCCTATCATCTGCGCGAATTACCATAAACAACGCGGTGATCACGGGCGACGGCACCCGCCGCCATCGCCGCTGATTTATATGAGAACGCGACGAATTAGAGCCGGCCGGCATTCCTGGCGCACCGGCCGTCCAGCTGACGAGGCGAGGCTGGAGCGAGGCGGAGCTCACCGTTACGGAGGCCGACTGCACGCAGCCCCGACTCGGCGCTGCCTCCGAGTACGAAGCAGTTGTACGAGTCGACATATCAAACACGGAGTCTGATGTCGGGAGTTATGCTCTGAAACTGACCCCGGTCGCGCGAGAAGAGCGCGCTGGAACCGAAGCCTGACGGCGCGGGACCTCTCGGGACGGGACGGCGCACCGGCGAGCGCTGCAGGGCGCGTCACATGTCGGGACGCCCGGCCTTGTCGCAGTCAGGAGTCCTATCCGGGGCCGGCCCGAAACGATTCATCACCTGTACTGTCAGGTCCGAGCTGGACGAGGCACAGGAGGAGGGAGGAGGAGAGGAGAGGGAGGAGGAGGGTGCTCTCATGCAGCGATGCGCTGGCACCCAGCGCGACCTACCCTCAGTGAGACCATTCCACATACTGCAATTCGCGGGACAGATTCCTCGCAGCGAGACGAGTCTGACGGGTCTCAGGAGCCCCGAACAAGACAGCCTCCTCCACAGACGAAAGGCGAGGACGGAGCCCGTGCACAGTACGCACAGACCGCAGCCCTCGGCCGGCTATGTGGCCTCTATGTGGCCTATGTGGCCGTGCACGCCACGTCTCCACGTTAACGCGGCGCCCCCGCCCGTCCCCGGCGGCCGGCGGTGCCTGCTCGCCGGGCGGCGGCAGCCGGCGGGGTCACCCGGCCCGCTCAGGAGACGAATGGGTCCGTCACGGTCGAGCGCCTCCCGGCCCTGAATCACGCCGCTGCCGAGAACCGCGCGTCCTCGCCGCCGCCGGAAACGACATCTCCCGCGCCGCGCGGGGTCGCGGTCCCGCCGCCGTGCACGCCGCGCCGGCGCGGCTGCGGGGAGGGTCGCCCGCCTCGCCGCGCGGCGACTGCTGCTCGGCGGCGGCCTCCGCGCGGCTCGCGCGGTCGCGCGGGATTTCCGCGAACGGCGTCGTCACTGGCCGCTGATTGCATTGCTATTCGGCGGGCGGCGGCCGGGGCAAGCGGCTGCGGTCAGGCAGCTCGCCGCGAGCCGGCCGGCCGACGCCGATGACAATGAACGCTGGCCGCACGCTGCAGGCAGAGCAGGGGTGTGAATGTGATAGCGCTAGGACAGAGGTCTGCTTCTAGGAGTCACGCCATGGCATGACTGAGAGCGATGGGTGGCCCGCGCACGAAAGCGCGTCCAGTACTTCCCTGGTTTCATGACGTGCCTGGGATTAAATTGACAAGCTCATTGCATTTCGTCCAGCGGCAGGAATTCCTGGCCGGCGACAATTTCGGCCGGCGGCCGGCCCCACAGCCATCGTGGACCACCCGTTCGCTCTCATATCTCAATACGTTCAGATATGTATCTGGCGCGCCTACCGCTGCGCGCGCCGGCCCAAAGCGGGGCCCGATCGCCGGCGTCCTCGGACCCGCGGTGGCCGGTATTTCGGCGGCGGTCCAGCGGCGGCGGACCAGCGGCCTGGACGGTCCGCCCGCCGCCGGGGGCGTGCGCGGCGGGCGGCGGCGGCGGCGGCGGCGGCCGTGCAGGCCACCCAGCCGGCAGCGGGTGTCGGTATTTGTGTCCACCTGTCGGCGGGGTGGCGCCGACACGCGGCCGCGCCCGCCGCGTGTACCAGGCCCGATACGATCGCGGTCCAGGTGCGCCCGCCGGCCGGCCATGACACGGCCGGCGGGGGGCCGGGGGTGGCGGGGGCGCAGGGCCGCCGCCGCCGCCCTCGATCGGCCCGGCCGATACCAGCCGGGCACACGCTGCTGGCATGACGGCGGCGCGCTCATTCATTTGTTTTGGCGACGCTCGGCCGGTTTTTACGTGCGGTCGCGGTCGTTTGCCGGGGAGATTGAGATGCCACGGGCCGTGACGCGTTCGCTGGCATCTCATTGGTATTTGATGGTAATGCCGGCCACAGAGGGATATGTGGAGACGAGGGACCGGAGAGCGGTCAGTCGTCACCAGCACCAGGTGTCACAGGTAGGCTGGACAGGCCTCGGCAGAAGAGTGGGCGTGCCCCCAATGTGGGTCAAACATACCATATCATATACCATAGCCAACGGGATAAAGCCAGACCTTGCTAATGTCGAACGGCTTTCGTGCGAACCCGTCAGCACGACCCCAGCCACGCCTCAGGAGAAGACATCACAGGGATTCGCTGCGCCTGAGAGGTCCGGCAGGACTGGACCAGCTCCCGGTAGAAAGGCGCGGCTGAGACCACACACCTGCCCCGGCGCACAGCGGCAGGTCGGGGTGGGTGTCGACTGACCAGCTCCAGCGGGCGAGACACGCCGGAACGATCAACCGGCCGCGGTGTTGAAGTTGAGGTCGGAACGCCAGCTGAGCCTTCGCGGAAGCGGTCGGTGGGACCAGGTCACCCCGACGGCCGCGGTGGGCGCAGCTGACGCCGCGGCCGCTGTGGCGCGGGTCCGGGGCCGGGACGGCCGGCCAGCGGCGCAGGACGGTCGGCGGCGGCCCGAGTGAGAGGTCAGGATGGTGCAGCCGCCGCTGCCACCGCAGAGTGCTGAGTCAGGGCCGTCGGTTCGAGACCGGGCCTCGGCGGGAGCTTCGCCGCCTTAATGGCGCCGCGATGATGTGGGACAAGATGATTAATCGTCCAGGCAACCAGGTGATGGCCAATTTGACGATAATTTAAGGTGTTAATGATTGTACGGACATAGATTGCCGCTGAGCAATATCCATGCAAAGCGATTCATCACAGGCTGAATTTTATCATTCCGTTCGCACTATATCATCTGGTGACGTGCGCCGATTGCAAAAAGGCGGAGCACTCAGCGCCCTTTCCGCGGCCACGCCTGCGTCACGGGAGCGACCGCGTCTCTCCGGCGCGCCGGCAGCTCCCCGAGTTCTGCCGGGCTCGGGTCCGCCGGCGGCCGCGGTCGACCACCGGGCGCTGCGACCACCCCGGCCGGACCGGCGACGCGATTTTAATAACAAGTTGCCCGACAGGCCGGCCGCGCGCCGGAACAAAAGAGCGCCCGCGCCGACGCGGTGGCCCTCCCCCTCTCTCTCCCAGGACGGCGCACATTTTTCATACGCTCTTTTGTCTTGGCATCCCGGCGGAATCAATCGCGGCGGCCGTACGTGCTGGCCGGTGACGTACGGCCGACATAGACGTCGCCGACTGAGAGCGCTCCGAGCGGTGAGCACTATTAAACGCGCTCGCCCGATGGGCGCCACTGCCTGGCGGTCGTAGCCGGTAACTTAACACGGCGGTAATGCACGCCGCAGCCGGCCCGGCGGCCGCCACAAAGGGGCGCGGCCCGCCCGGCACCGGCTCGGGTCATAGGTCACGGCGCACGTGCATGACCTCTGACTGCGGGGATCGGCCGGCCGAAGCGCCCCAAGACAAAGCGCACACGACCCGTCGCCAACAATGGGAAGATCGATTCCTAAAGCTTATTGCCCATGATTATACGGTCAGTATGCAACATAAATTTAACCACACTTCTGACAAATTCGGTCGCGGCACGAGTTTGACAAACAGACTCGGTAAACATTAGGATTCAGCGTTTTTCGGCGGCGGTTTAATGCAACCAGCCACGAACGGCGATCAACCGGCGGCCGCCCGCTGTCATGATCAAACACATTAGTCTCTGCTAAGCGCGACAGGAAACGCGACCCAGCCGCATTAAGACGTCGACTTTCCACCAAACTGTGCGCATTGGGAGCGGTTAAAAAATTACCGGCGCCCACGAAAGGAATGATAGAAGGCCGCGCGGTGGATCTTCACAACGGGAATCGTTAACTAACAGCGGTGGTTAGCGTAACCGCATATTA